CCCCAAAACCCCAAAACCCCAAAACCCCAAAACCCCGATATATCAAAATTGTATTGAAATGACGTAAATTTAATAAAGAAATGGAAAAATCTATCTTCAACCCTGAACTTCTTTCAGGGAAAGTTGCCTTCATCACTGGAGGGTCTAATGGAGGCATGCTTCAAGACATAGCTAAGATCTTCTTGTTGCATTCTGCAAAGGGGGTTGTCCTTGTTGCAAGGAAAAAGGAAAAATTACAAAAAGTTGTAGATCAACTCACACCATTTGCAGCAAAAGGAAGTGAATGTATCGGTCTTACTGCTGATGTTAGAGATACTGAGAGTGTTCATGAAGCTGTCTCACAAACACTTGAGAAATTCGGAACAATTGATATCCTTGTTAATGGAGCTGCAGGAAACTTCTTATGTCCAGCAGATATGCTCTCTCTTAAAGGGTTCAAGACTGTTCTTGATATCGATTCAGGAGGTACTTTCAACGCCAGCAAAGAAGTGTTCTCTCAAGCATTCAAGCAACAAAGATCTGGAGTAATTATTAATATTACAGCTAATCTGCATTATGGAGGAACTCCAATGATGATCCATGCTGGATCAGCCAAAGCTGCAGTTGACGCAACAACTAAGCACCTTGCTGTTGAATGGGGGCCTTATGGAGTGAGAGTTATGGGGTTATGCCCAGGCTTTATCGATGGAACTGAAGGAATGGCTAGGTTAAGTGACATGGACTCTATTGGAGACAAGAAAAAGGCTGCTCAATCCAGAGAAAAAGGAGTTAAAACAGATGACGCAATGACTGATTTGGTACCTCTTGGAAGATTAGGCTCAGGCGAAGATATTGCTAAAGGTGCTTTATACCTTGCAAGTGATGCCTCTTCTTATCTCACAGGATCAATCTTAATGGTAGATGGAGGAGCTACATTGACCTGTCCAAATTTTGTGATGCATTCTCCCAAATTCGTTGAAATGTATGCTGCTCCTAGAAAAGCAAAGATATAAATTCTCAACAAGTTCAATATCATCTTGCTCTTTTGGGGTTTTGGGGTTTTGGGGTTTTGGGGTTTTGGGG